GTCATCTCTAAACACACATCTTTAATTAGAATGATTTTAGTTGAAAAGACAAATAGTTTCAAAAAAAGTCAAAAATTAGTAAATGATGGTTATATAATTTATTTGGATTTAAGGTTAAAGTAGTAAGATTTTGTAGAGCATGTAAAATTATAGTTTTTTTCTGATACAGTATTTCGAGCCTATAAGTGACATTGGGATTGTGCAAGGTCTTCATTTCCTCAGAACAAAATAAACTTCATTGAATTTTTAATGTAAATTTTTACTAAACACTTATGCTTAACAATGAAATAACTATTTTGGTACTATTTATAATTGAAAAAGGAATGTTGATTAAGGTCAATCAAATATTTGATGAAAAACTGATCGAGATAAGTTATAAATTCTTCAAAAATGTTTGAATAAAAAAAGGTGTTAAGTTTTCTTAGCAGAAGCTGTAAGTAGCAGAATATTAAATGAATAAGTATGAAAATACCAATTATCAGTCAATTTATTGATGGGATGAGTGAATAAAATTTTTAAAAAAGTAAAAAGGTGAGTGTCAAGTTAGCCCAGTAGTAGTGATCACCAGCAGCCATGGTGGCTACCTGATGTGATCTGAGGTTTATACCTAAGCTGCTTTAGGCTCAGTAGGCTGATACCACTGAGCTATGGCTCACCCTGGAAAATACTGCTGATATCTAATATCATCAATCTACTGACTTGTGGTGCAATACAATGAGGAAGTGATGTCATTTAGCTTGTTAGTTTGTCCAGTAGCCACTAGATGTCACCATGTTTAGAGTGCTGTAGTTTGACGTGTCTTCACCAGATGTCAGTAGTGTACAGCACTTGGATTTCACAACACAGTCAGTATATTGATATAGATAAAACACGGCAATAATAATTGAAGGTGAGCCATGGTCTAGTGGAATAACCACTGAGACTAAAGCATTGGACTGCTCCCCATACAAGCCCTAACACTAGGGTGGGGAAATCTACTGGACTGACTTGACACTCACCTTTTTTTGNAAGTAGCAGAATATTAAATGAATAAGTATGAAAATACCAATTATCAGTCAATTTATTGATGGGATGAGTGAATAAAATTTTTAAAAAAGTAAAAAGGTGAGTGTCAAGTTAGCCCAGTAGTAGTGATCACCAGCAGCCATGGTGGCTACCTGATGTGATCTGAGGTTTATACCTAAGCTGCTTTAGGCTCAGTAGGCTGATACCACTGAGCTATGGCTCACCCTGGAAAATACTGCTGATATCTAATATCATCAATCTACTGACTTGTGGTGCAATACAATGAGGAAGTGATGTCATTTAGCTTGTTAGTTTGTCCAGTAGCCACTAGATGTCACCATGTTTAGAGTGCTGTAGTTTGACGTGTCTTCACCAGATGTCAGTAGTGTACAGCACTTGGATTTCACAACACAGTCAGTATATTGATATAGATAAAACACGGCAATAATAATTGAAGGTGAGCCATGGTCTAGTGGAATAACCACTGAGACTAAAGCATTGGACTGCTCCCCATACAAGCCCTAACACTAGGGTGGGGAAATCTACTGGACTGACTTGACACTCACCTTTTTTTATCACCTTAAAATGATTTTAGTTGAAAATAATATCAAATAGCTTCTAAAATGTCAAAAATTAGTAAATGATAGTTATAAATTTTACTTGGATTAAAGGTTAAAGTAGTAAGATTTTTTTGGAGCATATAAAATGATTTGTTTTTTCTTTGTTATATAGTATTTCTAGCCAATTAAAGTGACATCAAGATGGGCAGGGTCTTCGTTTCCCTAAAACAAAATAAACTCATTAGGTTTTTTTTTTTTTTTTTTTTTTTTTTTTTTTTTTTTTTTTTTTTCATTTTTTTTTTAAAAAAAAAATTATTTTTTGTTTTTAATAATAATTGAAAAGGGTTTTTTTTTAAAAACAAAAAAAAATTTTTATTAATTT